TCTCTCTCTCTCTCTCTCTCTCTCTCTCTCCACACACACACACACACACACACACACATCTGTTAACAAATTCAGGGGTTGTTCCCAGCAAGGGCCTGTATCAGTACTACATAGCTACAATTCTTGATCCACAGGTTCAGAGTTCAAACCCTCTTAGATAATTCTCCGATTTAGTGTTCATTCCTTAAAAAGGAGAAAAAGCTACATAAAAAGTAACAAACACAACAGTATCCAGTGAATCATACCTGCTGTGCAATTCGAACCGTCTCATTGAGAGCCTGCAAAACGCCAAGAACAAAACAATTTGAAGTTATAAGAACTCGCTTTGAAATTCCAAAGACCGCACAGGATTGGATTCTATGAAATCAAAACTTAACTGAAAATTGAAAACACCAGCTGTACGTATGAGAGGAATAGTGCTCTTTCCGGTATACGTAGTAAGAGCGTTTTGATTCGGGCCTACCGTCTTCCCCCGAATAGAACACCCAGTTATTGTCGCTGCATCTGGATTCTGGACTGAAAGTTGCCCCGGGCGTTCTATTCAGGCGAAGACGGCAGGTCGGTAGCACAAGCGGCAGGCCACTTTGAAAAAGCACAATGGCAGGCTCGTGAGCCTTGGAAGGTAGATTCCTCAATTTAGGCTCGCCTAACCTGGTGGTTTAGAAGTTAAAACCTTATTCCCAACCAAATAATGGGCACTTCAGAGTTGGATCCAGATTTGCAGAATCATCCATCGGAACAGTTTTACAACCACAGACTTCCGTAAACAAGAAACATTTGTGCAGCAACGTAGCATGCTCTTGCGATGGACAAATTGCACACACCTGCAGCGCTTCTCTGACGTGCCCAAACTGCACATGCATGGAGCCCAAGCTGAGGAGAGCTGCTTGAAACCGCCCCACACTGGTATCATTGATGCTTAGAGGACCTCCTCCTGGACCTTGTCCACCCCCAGGGCCGCCACCCGCAGCACCTCCAATAGCACCCCCAGGCCCGCCCCCTACCCCACCGCCCGCTGCAGCAAGGATCGAACCTCCCTGCCCTGCACTGAAGGATTAACAACAATTCATGTCGAGACCGTTTCCAAATTAGAATGCAAAATTTTCTCTTCTTATTTTTTGAAAAGACCAGTCTGTTGGTACACCTATGAACTGTTGACATACAGACCCAAGCTCAAATCCAGTTCCCATCCAATAAACAGAATGAAATAATTTTGAGTTACCTGGAGCCGGTCAGTTCAATGATGATATCTCGAGGCTGTTGAGCTCCAAATTTATAACCCCTCACAAAGATTGATTCCAAATTTCCATACCTCTGATGCCATGTCGGTGCTGCATGGTGATGCCAGAAGGGGGGGGGGGGGGGGGGGG